TTTTTTTTTTTTTTTTTTTTTTTTTTTTTTTTTTTTTTTTTTTTTTTTTTTTTTTTTTTTTTTTTTTTTTTTTTTTTTTTTTTTTTTTTTTTACAATTTTACGTTCATGTTCGTGGATTCAGTATTCGAGAAATCCTCTCATTCTCATGCACATTTCATTATTATCGTTCTGATACTTCATCCAGTGGAACATGAACGTACTACGAACATCGTCGTTATTTTCATGGTCGAAATCGAGACAGGATCGATTCCTCGATTTATTTATCGACCTGCGTTACTCGAACAGATTCTCTCGACAATTATAAAGTACACTCTGTAACTGTATTAAACACTGCAGATCCATTCAGCGATCCCTTTCAACCGATCATCGATCGATCGATCATAAAGATCTCTTTTCGCTTCATTCATGATTCGCCGAGGGAACTCGTAGCCAGCGTTCTCTCGCCGGTCGATGATCTATCAACAAGATCTTAATCTAATAATCCCGTTTTCTACAAATTTTAAAACAATCTTAGTCTCGACATTCGACAATAATAGACAGTTTGAAGATCCTTTTCAATCGATGAACCGTCCAGCGAATTGAAAAAAAAGATCGATAAGAGAAACACCGGTATCCCATAGATCTCGAAACATTTCGAGAGTTTTCCCTAGAATCTCCCTAGGGTTCTTCCCCGTAAGAATTACATCAAAAATAAATTAAATTAATGAATCGAACGGGGAGGAGAACTAATAAACCTCGCCGTTCACGTAACCCTTTTGGACAGTGGACAAATGGCGATCGAACACTAGAGTTCATCCTTCTAATTACCAAATCTCAAAACTCATCGAATCCTATATGAATCTCAGTGTAATGGAGACTCGATCGAGAATTTATCCTCGATTCGGTCTTATTATTTGTACATGTGTATAAATAAAAACGAAGGCTGACAACAAGAATAAAAAAAATGAAAAAAAAAAAAAAAGGAGTATTAATCCTCTGGAATAGATTCGATTTTTTCCCGGCCGAGAGAACGCGAGCCAACGATCAGTCGTTCTCTCTATCTGTCCGTCTATACTGTCTCTTTCTTTCTCTATCTCTATCTCTCTATCTCATACATATTCACAGACAAAAAGTGTAATTAATACACATGCAAACACAAACAAAAATGATGTTGAAGAACTCTATGACTGATTTTTTTGACAAGGTTACCACATCCCTGCACGCGAAGTGGGTCGGAGGTGCAAGGAACACCCCCAAAAATATCTTTGAATCGTTCGACGATCCTGAACGAAAGAAGATGCGTCTTTGACCGATTTTGTAGCCGCGGCGCTTGCACACGACGACACACACGATACAAACTGACTTATACATACGCCCCGGAATATATATTAATTTTTGTTTCTTTTTTTCGGAGGGGGACGGTATGTTCGTCGGAGGTTCCCAATTCAGTTATAGTAACAGCGAAACGTTGCCTCTCTGTAAGCGCGCTATTTGAATCTGTGACGATACCATAGAGAGCAACAGACTTAAATCCTAAATTTGCAGCGATAAGTTCAAACGTGAATGCTCTGGTTTCCTTCGTTATTTGGTTTAGTGACTATCGGAATTTTAATCAGAAATAAATAGATTATTCTAGTGTTCCCTCTCTATAGAAATCAGAACTGGCGAAATTATAGAGGCCATTTTGGATACGATTCATTTGGATTCTGTCATCGGTCGTTCATCGATGTTCTCACGTCCGAGACGAATTAACCAAGCGATTACGAAGGAGACTGACGAAGCGTGTTCATAGGGAGGGAATACTCTAATCGAGGACAGGCTGTTAAAGATCGTTTTTAACCCAATCCTTATTTTCAATTCTCATTGTTAGTGTTTTTACTATTTATTATCAATTAACGAATATGATAAATATTCACGATGACCAATTTACGAAGGCAAGATTACACAAAAGACACGACTTATTATTTAAAAAAAAAAAGTGTAAATATTTTTTTAACGATTGTCGAATAGAAAACCTCCGCACGAAACAATCGTTCCCCAACGCTGACAATTTGCATGGCTGCGCTTTCCGCCTTCCTCGCTTCTTTATTTCATTTCTCGCCTGGTTCTCGCCTGGTTCTCGCCTGGTTCTCGGCTGTGTCTATCCGCGTTCTGCTCGAATTTCTTGCCCGACTGACGGGTCACTTGGGAATGCGCAGATACAACAGTCTTGTAGACACACGGGCTGTAGCATGTGTCGAGAAGGGCCGCTTCACCAATGAACATCTTTCCTGCGCCATTCTTGGAAGCGATTTCCGCGTCGTGAAATCAACAGTGGTGATATCTGTGAACTTTGGAGTAGTTTGAAAGCATCCTAAAATCATATACTGGGTGATTAAAAAGAGGGTCCTCAGATTTTAGTATCGCGTATGCTCGTGTCTATCCATTTTGGGGTATCTTGAAAACATCTTGAAATTACATACAGGGTGTTTCAGTGAGTACTATAAGCCTCCTAAAATCTTACATGTACAAAAAATGTTTTTATTTTCCCTTTTATTTAACAGCTCAAAGATATGTAACCCCTTAAACAGAGCCCCAGAGTTCACGGACTAGCCTCTCGACGCGACGAAAGTCCCAAAATGGTTGGATTACACGACAAGAATACACAACACAGTGTTGCGTAATACGGGTTCTCCGTGGCGCGTGTTCACCCCCGAAAATGTACACGGTTATTACACCTAGGGGAGGAATTCCGTATTTATACCATCGTCGGAACCGAGTGCCCTCCATCCTGGTTTTTCCGTGCGCGGTGAATTATTCAGTTGGGTATCCCCTTTAAGGGAACGACGAACCCAGTCCTGCGGGGGGCTGTCACGATGATAATGAACCGGTAATTTAATTTTTCCATCACGTGGAAGTGTCTTTTCGTGACCGGTATAACCGTTCACTTCGATCCCACCCCCTGTGCCTTAATATCTTTGATGGAACGGCCATCTCTACGGTCACGTGACCTCGCGCGGGAAATTCGAAATGAATTTTCGATGAGGGGCGTAGGAAAATGGTTTTCGACCCAACGTTAAGTTCCATCAACGATATCACGTGCACCAACATCGATTTTAACGGACGGATCAAGAGCACTCGGTCCCGCCTCCCGCCCGTCGAACGATCGATCGATACCAGAGTGTCGAATACATTTACACATAGTTTTCTTCAGTCGAAACACACGATACACATCTTTAACACAGAGAAAAATCAACCAGACCAAGGTGATTTCGTGTGAAACAGAGGACTTAAAGCAGCCTCTGGGTGTTATCGATCGCGATTCTCTATCCGCACCTCGTCTACACGATTTCCTATGTACCTATAATATATAAAATACGATGCCGAATTAGCAACACGCAATCGCACGCCGCTCAGCATGCCGTTTAACAATGTTTTTCTTTTGTGAACCGTTTACGACGCTTCTGGCACGGAACGAAGCCGAGCTCTCGAGAGGAGCCATCAGAAGGTAAAGAAAAGGACCAATATTTCTCCTGGCACCTGACATATATGTATATGTATATGTGTATTATATGTATACACGATATATACATCATCTTGAGAGCATCGGCAGAGTCGCTCGGATTGATTGATCACGATTCTGTGTCTCGCATGCAAAGAACACCAATGCACTATAATATAGAGTATAGAGTGTTCCTAATGTCCGAACCAAGGGAATTCTCCTCTCTCTCTCTCTCTCTCTGTTCTACTCTGTCTATTCTGTCCTTAAATCCTTTTTACTTCTCTCTGTCTATACGACTATTCTCTCTCTTGATCTCTGACTCTCTAGCTCTCTATCTCTCTGTATCTCTCTGTATCTCTCTGTATCTATCTGTATCTCTCTGTATCTCTGTTCTGTGTATCACGGCGCATCTCCTCGATCCACATCCTGTCAATGGGGAACGTGTCTGGATTCCGTCCAGATTGAAATTCTTCCCTACCTTTTCTTCCTCTGACGATCTCATAGAGGAGAACGCGGATTTTTCGGGAATATTATTTTAGGGAGAAACCTTGGCGTCTTCTGGATTGGTGATTTCTTTGTTCTTCTTTCTTTTTTCTTACTGGCCTGTTGAATTCTTATCAGGAAGAAAGGTTGACTATTTCAGATTGTAATTAGAGTCAGTTTAATTTGTCGATCGGGTATAAGGGTTACCACGAGTAATTTAATTGTATTTGTACAATATGCTCTAGGGTGGAGGGTTTTAATGGTGATTATTGAAAGTGTAATATCGTGTAGTATACATTGGAAATTAAGGACTGATAGAGGGTTTGATTAGGTAAACGGGGTGATTAAGTTTATTCCGAAGGCGCCAGGATTTCCTACCACCTGCAGCGTCTCCCGAGAGCGTGTTTCCTTTTGCTTCTTTTCCATCATCCCCAAAACGTGACGTTTGCCACGCTTCGACTCGCCGGCATTTCGCTTCGTAATCAGAATCCTCAGATTCCAGAAAGAAGGCGAAAAGGGTCGAACCGTGGAAAACATGGTCTTTCTATCCTATGGTTCGTTATTCTCCTATTGTACTCCGAACTTCGTTCCAATTTCGTCGTGAGAGAGTTCGTGTGTTCACCCATTTTCCGTGAGAGAACTTTGAAGAACCGCCTGAAGGACTCACGCTGATCGTGTTTCACCTGTTAACCAGGGAGGACGAGTTAACTCGTCGTGTCTGTATGACACTATACAGACTGTCCTAAAATAGGCGTATAACCGTATGTCCCCATGCTATATCCATCACCCAATCCAGCGTGCGCCAGAAAACAAAACGAAACTTCACCTCTATCTCTAACTATCTATCTATCTATCTATCTATCTATCTATCTATCTATCTATCTATCTATCTATCTATCTATCTATCTATCTATCTATCTATCTATCTATCTATCTATCTATCTATCTAGTTTGTCTGTCTGAAACCACACATATTGCCTATAAACGAACACGCCCGTTGTATTATCTCACCGTGTCGACTCACTGAAACAAACGAACGCTCTGTGCGTGCTCCAGGTCGGAGCACGAAGAAGGGCGACGGCTCACAGGTGAAGGAATCGACCGACAGCAGCACAACGATCGAGGACGATGACGTTAAAGGTAGGACAAAAACCCAGCAAGCTCCTCTCTCTCACACTCACTCTATAGATTCTTCTTTCTAGCATCCTATATTCGCGCGTCTCTACGATTCGTCCCCGTATTCTAGAGGGACTATTTATAAGGATCACTTTCTGTAATAAAGCGGCGTTTATAATAGGCAACTTTTGATCGACTTGCGGTTGTTCGACTAAACGACTTACACCATAGAAGGCTTCGTCGTTCAATTTTTTTTATCGGTTAAGATGGTTAATAATGTGCTGCGTAAAACGGTTGTACGTGTAACGTCAGAAATTGCAATGAGTTTGTTAGGCGAGTTGACAAAAAGCGTTAGTGGAAAAATTAACAGAAAAAACGTCGTTTGTATGTTAGAGTAGAGTGTATTAATAAGCGACGGTAAATTGTCCGTATGGACTTAATTTTGTCGTTTACATCAGCGACGGTTAATCTTTCTAAATCCATTTCTTTTATTATTAATTTCATTGCGGTTTTTTTTTTAAATTTAAATTCTTGCACGTATCGTGTGTACTGTTCCATGGACAGTACTGTCGTTGATAGAAGTCTATAAATTTATTTATATCCTGTGAATTCCAATTTAATTTAGACATTTTCGTCCGTCTCGGCGCGATGTCATGAACGCAAGTCTACGAACGTCCTGTTTCAATCGTCTGTCACCTATGTACGATTTTACGTTGTTTACACGGTCAAGTACGGTTGAATCGACCAGCTCGTTCGACCAAAGATAGACCAACGGGTAACTTTTAGTTGAACGACTCCAAGTCGATCGATTAGGTCGGCCGACCAAAAGTTTATAGGCTGCCGACCTAGTGTAAACGCCGCTTAAACGAAGAGATCGCTCAAGAATGTGCAATTAATGTCCCTTATGTACGTTGTTTATTTTCTTTGTTTTTAAGGTGTCATTCTACTTTGATGGTAAAGATATCCTAAGGGATTATGAAGATGCATGCGATTACATATACTAAGTACCTATTTGTATTACCGAGGGAAAAATCCTTAAAGATAACATTAACAAAGTGGAATGACCCCTTAAAGGTTCGACAACCCCCAGAATCACGAACTTTGAGCTCTGGCTGCACCGAGAAGTGGTGCGTTTTGGCGGTCGCTTGCTTTCGTCGCGACTCGATTCTCGTAATACATGCGATTCTCTACGGGAATTGAACAGAACTCGAGTTTATTGTTAATCTGTAAATATTGAATATTTTATTGAAACATTGATGTGTTTGTGTAGTGTTCCTGAGAAGTATACCAATCCTCCCAAGTGTTACCTGTATTGTAATATTTTCTATTGAAAATCACACATATTATACAAAACTTGATTACCCTTTATTTTCTTTTAGTAGAATCAACGAACCTGTGATACTATATGTATACATATACATATACATATACATATAGACCAAAGGGTATAAAGGTCAAGGTACATCCCTAGGCTGCTGCAGCACCTAACCTTAACGCATAGACTCTGTGTATTAATAGAAGCCCTCTTTAAACGGTGCTCTCGTTGCCCGATCAAGTATTCACGCTTAACTTGATTATAATTCATTTAAACGTTTTCTGATACAACTAATAGATAATGAGTTATTTTCAATAGTAATTCTTATTGACTAATTCTGTATATTCGTCCAAGCGTGTGCCCATCGAGACGGCATACGGCAGACGGCGGTTCACCGAGTCGCGCGAGTTCTGCTCAAGCCCCGAAGTTATCGGTCAGGAAATAACGTCGCGAAGGCACATCGAGCAAAACGCCTGCGATTCGATACGAACTTGGCCCGTGCAGCAGGATAGGCAAATTCGAACCGAAATGCCGGCTTGTGTTCGGTGTGCTCGACGGATGTTTCGCGCGTGTACACGCGACGAAATCGAGCTATCCGTAGGCTCGTTAATTGTTCGTGTTCCCGAATGGGTATGCACTAATGGATCGAAACGCGAGACTTTACTCTCGCCAGGCTTGTAACTGAATTTCCGTGGTCGACGTGGTCCTGGGGTTCCATCGGTTCATGGTTATTTAAAATCAAGTTCATCATAAAAATAATAACGTGTATACACTTGAACCGGACATACCGTATTCAATTTGTTTTTCCGGTTTACCATCAGGGCCACGTCGAATAACGATTCAGTCCAAGTCGACACCTATCGATGAAATCCCATGAATGCATCGTAACTTAAATATTTTACACCCCTTTCATCCCCAACCCTAATCGATGAATCGTAATCGATCGACCATCGACAGAGATGATCGAACAACAGAGAAGTCATTTCTCCACACTTCTAGATCGATCGACACGACGAGTAAATCCTTTCCAAGTTTGTTTCACGTGTAGAGGTCGAGGATGGCCCTTCGTCGTCGGTTCCTTTTCGACGCTTAACGGATGCAACGAGCAAAAGACTTGCGCGGGCATACCGGCCTATTATTAGCGGGATAGTATTGCTGGGCTCACGTGCAAATCGATCGTTGGACAATAGCTCGAGTAGCTAAGTATCCTCTTCTCCGCGTTGCTTTTGCCCCACCCCCCTTGAACCTATCGTCCTCTCTGGCCACGATCCGCATTATACATAACTTGCGTACACACCTGTGTGTCCCGTTATTATCAGTATACGTATACAGGTTGTTGCTGGATCACCAGCGGTTAAAATGTAACCATAATGTATCGCATAAAAATCTGCAGTCTAGTCTAATCACCAATTAGATTATCGAAAATCCAATTTTCGACTGCCCCGTCAAACTTTGTTCTCTCGGTAAAAATGATATTACTAAGATGAAATTACGTCTTCCTTATTGCAACGCAATCGCATCGACTGCATTTACGTCCGAAAAACACGCGAAATCCTTTACGCACACGTGCAGTGCGACTTGCGGGACAAGTGGTGGCACGAATTCGTTTCTACTAGGGCTGGGACTACTAATTCACTAATTTCACGTAAATCATCACAAGCTGATCAGACAGAATCGATCCGAGTTAAGGGTGGTTCCGTCTTCGGAAGCATATCTTTTTTCCCCTGAAACGCCGCGAACGTGCAATCCGCGTTATCCCTGGCATGCATGCGACCAAACTCTGTCCCTGTCCTCCCTCTGGTTGGTACACCGAAAACACAGACCCGACACTGGGTTTCGCGTTCAGCTTTCAACGACTCGGACACTTTATCATGGGCACAGGGGGTGGGGGCGTGAATTGATTCTCGAGGCCCGCCAGACACGAGTACACTCGAGCAGAAAACGGCAATACTACACACAGAGCACTAAAACAATCGAGGAGCCGCTACCGAATGTTGGCTACCCTTGTTTACGACCAGATGCAAATTGAATCGCGGGGAAACGGATTTAAATTACGCGTTATTATTGTTATCGTTATCGCTGCGATCGACGGTTTAGATCGTTCGAGAAACCGGAGATTGCGGATGATCCTCGCGTGGAGGACGGTCGAAACGTGTCGTTAAATTTTGTAGATCGGTTGAGCAACGATCATACTCGTTAATGTTTATATCGAACATTATTATTTATTGGTATTGGTAGCAGTAGTTACGATCGGGTCGGGTAAGGGGTTCAAGACTTCGAGACATTGTGACAATTGTCGTGTAAGGAATGAGTGAATCGTTTTTAGGAGTTTGTTGGTTTTCTGGATTAACATGATTTGTTGGTGGAAGATGAATATAGTATTATCGATAATGTTTAAAAAAGGATTAAATCGATGTCTCGTCGATTTTGTGTGTATGTATGGAGTAGTATGAATAAAATATTCCCCAACAATACTATTGCACTGTAGGTGCAAATTAATAGGTTTCTCCTTGTAGTGTGAAATTTCTCGACTACTATTTATTATTATCGTGTAATATTGAAATATTACAATATTACAATATTACAATTTTTCAATGTTTAAATATTTTCATATTTAATAATGTTGGAGTAAATTCAGAAAGTAAATTGCCTTACTGATCCATGATAGAATCGTTGCTTCAGCCTCACCTATAGCAAATTTGCGACACGTTTCCTTCAAACATTCGAAAGGAAACCTTAAACATTCCAACGATTCTAAGTCATTCAATCAATCGACAGAAGTCAATTCTTAATTCTTCGAATTAAGATTCGTCTACCCACTGATACAGTCACCAAGAAACGATCTCAGCGCTCACACGCTCGCAATTCAATCCATTTCACGCCACACACACACACACACACACACACACACACACACACACACATACGTATATGTTCCACGCTTGATCACACAGCTAGACTGCAGCTGAATACTATGATAATAATTATGTACGTAGAGCAGCTATGGCAAGGGACATCAAGGAAACGTTGACTTCCGTACCGATGCTCACAAATCCATAACACGTAGCCTTAAACGTAATCCACGCTGGTGCTCGAAGCTTTCGAGCAACCTTCAACCTTTCATCCTCGAACATACTTAATTAACTTCCACTTTTTGTACATACTACATAATACCAAAGAGACCAATCAACATCGAATGAAGATCGTTAAATTACGCATCTAGTGGAATTTTCGTGAATTCTTCAGTTTTTTCTTTTTTGTTTTTCGTCTTGTTTAGAGGGGAAATGTCGTCAGTAATACGTGCTTAAATTCATCAGCCGCGCCAGACCGCGGTAGTATTAATCGGCGGTTAATCGGACAGTCGCAGTTTAATTAACAGTTTTGGCAGCGAGAATTGGCGAGAATTTAATCGCGAACGAATCTATCCTCGCGGGATTACAAAGGATTCCAGTCGAGCCATTTCATTTCGAGATGATTCGAATGAATCCACATCAACGTCGATTGAAATTTTTCTTTTCGGCCGGTAAGCCTCGAGCAGAATTACGCGATAAATCTTTCGACGGGAAATATCGATCGTCGTACTGCCACGTTACATAAATTACAGAATTCTTGTATTTAATTAGACCATTGATTGTGGAATGTAAAAGAACATAGATGTAATTACGTACTTTATACAATTATAATTTGCAAAGAGAATTGTATGTCGATG